TAAAAAAATAAGAACTTATTAACTCCACCCTGAATAGGCCTTCAGGGTACTCCACAAAACTTTATTACCCCAAGAGATGCACACCTCCTAACCTAACTTAAACACTACTCTCGGGAACAAAGGTTATACTTGAGATTGAAATTATAAAGACATTAAATGCAGTAAAGGAACTAAATCACAGTATCACCTACAACCGCAGGGAGAAAACTCATCTGAAAACAGTTCCCTCATTTCTCTGGCATCAATTAGTGACACAAACATTGAAAAACAATACTATCCAAATTATTTAAGAAATATTAAACTACACACATCAAGATAATATCAGTAACTGAAAAAATGGTATTAACTACGCACAAAAATATTATCACTATTATTAAGAAGTTACTGACTCCACCAATACCCGGGACCCTGCTTCCTAACCTAACACATAGATTCCACCTGCACTCCGTAGTTTTTTAAGGCACAACCAACAGCCACCAGTAGTTTACGGCCCAAACCAGCCTTTCTCCACCTTGAAAAATGTACCTCTAAGTTCCACTACTCCTGGACCCAGTGTGTGGCCCTGTATTCACTCAGCTTGCTTCACTTTACCCCTAGTACATGCATGAAACGGAAGGGAGTGAGCCAATCAGACCTTGTACAGTTGAGAGAAGCTTTAGCTTCCCGTTAGAAAAAGGTTTTCATTAAGCTGCTTGAAGATATGTGGTATTGTGAGCCGAGGTTGAGGAGAGCTGATGACCCCAAACGATCGTCACGTCGTTAGTTGGGCACCCAGACAGCTGGTTTCACTCCAACTCTCACCATACTCAACAGGTGGCTCAAACCCAGGTCAGTGGACGGTCATACAGCTCAATTCACCACTCATCTTATACCGCCAGTGGATGTTATTATACCACGTGGGCTCTACAGAACCATGAAAAACCCGAGCTGTTAGCTATTGTCTCTCATCACCGTTTGTTCCTACCGCCCTATCTAGCTTTGTCTGAGAATGAATAAAACTTACTTGTTAATGCGGATGTAAAATAAACGAAGGAACCAGTTCATGAGGTCCGTCTCTCCTGGGTACAGAACAGAGATGGTCCTCTTGCTTGACCTGTCTCACAACTACCCAAGCCACGCTTGCTCACTGGGTCACGCTTTTCAGGAGTGACATATTTACCAGACGATTAACAGCTTAATTAGGACGTATGCAACATTTTCAGACTGGGAAAAGATCTATAATTACTTTCTATTTAATAACTGATATTTAATTTCATGATTAGCGTCCCTATTAACTCGGTAATTTACAGTTAATATCCTATAGGCCTAGTTCCAAGAGCTCTCACTACGTGCAGGAGCTCTCCTCCCTCAGTCGACCTTGAAAACTCAGTATCGCATATGGCGCGGCTTTTGAAATTACACTGAAATTTCTGAATATTACATATATATATATATATATATATATATATATATATATATATATATATATATATATATATATATATATATATATATATATATATATATATATGATCACAATTAAAACGTGCATAAGATAAATCTTGATAAATCCCTTTTCGTGTGATTTGTCCAAGATATATATATATATATATATATATATATATATATATATATATATATATATATATATATATATATATATATATATATATATATATATATATATATATATATATATATGTATATATATAATTTTTTTTTTTTTGCGAGGTAATCTTTTAAAAAGATACATGTTCACTCTGTAATGATTTGCTTACACAAATATTCTATACTTACACCACTTTCTCGCTATACAAAACCAATGGCACTTTAGGTAGTGTACTAAATTAAGTTATACTTCATTAATTTCTTAATGTGCTAATGCAAAATTACAGTAATTAGGAACTAAAGTACAGTCCTTATGTATTAATTTACAGTAGTTAGGTAGGTATTTTTAGTGCTTGTGAGCTTATCTTGGAATTACAAAATTGCAATAGTTAGGTCCCAATTTACAGTAGTTGCAAACTGCACAGCTCATTTCCTTGGGTGACAAAAAAATATATATAAAAACTAATAGTCACTTCGATTATTTCTGGTGTATTTCAAGGCAAGGAAAGAACATTAATTGCCATAGCCTTCATTCTTTTTATAATGAACAAACAGTTCATATTAAGGCCATATACATATTCAATTCACAGGGCTTACATATAAGCAGAACAATGTTTATTGTATTTTTGATAAAACTGAATCTTTATGAGATGTCACACTCAGATCCAATCACTGTTAATGTTAGACTAATTAAATTGTTACTGTGTTGACATACAATTTACATATATTGTACTGGTATTTACTGTCTGTTATTAGGAAGGCAAGATACTGTAGAGTCCCCCAAAAAAGTATTTTTGGATTTGCCGTTGCTACAATTTGAAACGCTGGATGAAGTGATTAGGATAGGGGTAGGTTTAAGGGAGGGAGTCGTCCTTGTACGGCATACTAAATATACTTCAATATAACAAGACATCCATTAAGCTATTTTAATGAATGTATCGTATAAAGTAGAAGCAAGGCATGTGCAAACAAGCCACTGATTGATGGTTACAATAACACTGAAATATACATTAAATGGAATTGTTTCGGAACATATAACTGAGACTGAGACAGATTTCAAAATGGACATTTCACCATTACGTCATTGTACTAACAGAGTTTCAGATATTCTGAGTTTCACAACATGCCTCCTCATGTTATTCACGATATGCATGTTATGAAGAGTGCATAAGCAAATAACTTGATATTAGAGTGCACAGCTCCTACAATATATCGGTCAACATGGCATCTGCCATGTTAATGATACGGTATGTAAATTGAATTGGTTTAATACTGAAATAAGGTTTCAAATCACGGGACATTTATGACTGTAAGTTTCAGAGTAGAAGCAGCAGTTTCATGGCGCTTAACATATCATGATACTGTGGGCTTGCTCACCCCAGTTCGTCGTTCTATCTCAACACGATTATTCATCTCTCCATTCGATGTAAGACACCGTTGATGACTGGTATGGCGTCCACTCCGAGTCATGTAATATCTGATCATGTAATATATGATCTGAAGCCTCGGAGGATTCACATCGTTCAAAAGCGTACCTGTATATACTCATTCATGCCCATAGGTAGCGGATGTACAATAGAACAACCAACCGTAGAGAAGATGGTCGAGCAATACTGTTCGGAATGCCTCGAACTACATCGACCCCATGGTTAACGAAAACGATACTTTTTTTTTGGGGGGGGGGGGCAGTACTCTACATTGTTTATCAATGAACTACACAAAATATTGACTGTGCTTATTGTACCTCATAAATATAAATTGGTACAATACCTTAAGGGACCATAACTTTTGTATTGGGAGAAAAAGGTGTAAAAAATGGAATATTTGTATAAGCATATTCGCAGGGCGAACGTTCGTAGAGTGAGGGAGACCTGTGACTGGAAAATATAAATTTTGTGGCTAAAACACTACATTGGTTTTTCCTGCTCTACCTCGCTAAATAAAAATCAACATAGTTCCATAGTTGTATTCTAACAATACTTAACCATTTGTTTTTTTCATAAAACGACACAAAATTTCCAAGACAAAGATAAGGTTATGTTAGGTAAGGCAAGGCTAGGTTAGGTTAAGTAAAGGTAGGTTGGGTAAAGTTATGTTAGGTAAAGTTAGGTTTGCTTAGGTTAGTCCATGTTTTGTTAGGTTTGGATTGGTTCGTTTTGTATGTGGTTTTACCATAAATTTTGGGTTGGGTTGGTAATTTTTTTATGGATTTGAGCAAGAAATGAATATGAAATCCATTCAAAACACACCGAAATATGCAGGAAAAACATAATTTGGTCCAAAAAGTCGTGGGTGGTCCTAAAACGAATAAATGAACCGAAAACTTCAAAGCTCCAGCCTATAATATCGAGAATGCAACAGTATCTTGTTCATCTTATATATTCTAAAAATATTCTGATGTTATCAAACAATTTTGAGGAGTGGAGCGTTATCAGTACTAAAGGCATTAAAAATTGAAGCGCTCATATAAACTAATGAACAGTCAACATTCCTACAGCAAATGATGCCTGCGCATTACCAGGGCCTATTACAACTGTCATAAAGAAATGAAAAAAAAATGTGATATCGCCGAATTTTTCGTCTTTCTCTCTTTATTCCTTGCCTAGTAATTATTTAGTTTACTACCCAGCCGCTTGGTGGTGCAAATTGGGCGGTGAACACGTTCGACCATAGGAGCGGCCTATCCTTTTATAGTATTAGAATACTTGGTTAAGGTGATGAGTATACTGTCTATCTAAGACGACAGGAATGTAATAAAAAAAAAACAGCACACAATCCTTAATATACCTTGTGTTAACTTTGTCGTTTGAAACGCTGTGTGAGTGCCAGGCTTCACAACTGCAGGGATAGATGCGTATAACCTGTTATTCGTAGTCTACACAAAACTGTTGGTGTGATGCAACTCATGCTTGTTGGCCGGCCTGAACACTGACGGGTCTTACGCCCGTATTATTAATCAACATCTTCCCTTGAAGAGGATCGTCGTGTTTCAACCCGAGTTTTAAACTCAATGAGTCCTGAGGGACACCGGCTTACTGTACTTAACTGGGTGGTGTTTCGTTAAAATTAACTATTTCCAATAAAATTATTTTATAATATTGGAATTAGTTAATTTTACCGCCACACCACCACGTTAAGTACTGTACTTAACCAAAGCTAATGCTATGCTTACATAACCTATCCTAATCTAACCTAACCTAACCTAACCTAATAAATCATAACCAAACCTAATCAATTAAGCTTACAACCAAACTTAACATAGTATAACATAACCAAACTTAGCGCCTTGAGGCTAACCAAAACTAACCAAAGCTAATGTGATGAAACCTAGCGTGATAAGAGCAAGGGCTGTTGGGCGATGGCTGGGTGGTGTTGGGGCAGCTCATCTCATGATATACAGTCAGTGTGAGTTCAGCACGGGAGGAAGCAACACCTTACACGGGCGACCGTCACAGTACAACCAAACAACCAACTTATTTACCTTACCGTAAGTTATGTTACAGATAGATAGATAATTTATTCAGTAAAATCGTCATGCAATTTCGTATAATTTCAACATGTATACAGGGATATGATGTACAGTGCACTTATTAAACGAACAATATGTAAGACAAAAATCTGTTCTCGGTTTTGTTCAATAATTAATTATTTACATTTGACGAATATAATGAAAGGCTTCCATCGTCATCATAGTTCAAATAATCCCAGCCGAATTTAAAGGCTCCTATCATTTATCCTTGGGTTATGTTTATAATTTAACGTAGGAATTGTAATCGGTCACACAACACCAACAGCAGTGTAAGGAGAGCACCCCGTAAATCCAGAACCAGGGCAATGAAGGGAGATAAAATCATTCTGTGCATGAGAAAGCGGCCAAATATGTTTATGGAGAGATAAGGTGTCTACACAAAATTGGAGAACACGTGAACCAGCCGTTGAATAGGCTACCTTCGACCTCATCTCCAAGAAGACGCCACTAGACCCGCCAGTGTTCAGGCCGGTCAACAAGCAGGAGTTCCATCACACCAACAGTTTTGTGTAGACTACGAATAGCAGGTTATACGCATCTATCCCTGCAGTTGTGAAGTCTGGCACTCACACAGCGTTTCAAACGACAAAGTTAACACAAGGTATATTGAGGATTGTGTGCTGGATTTTTTCTTGATTAAATTCCTTTCGTCTTAGATAGACAGTATACTGATCACCTTAACCAAGTATTCTAATACTATAAAAGAATAGGCCGCTCCTATGGGCGAACGTGTTTACAGCCCAAGTGGCTGGGTAGTAAACTAAATAATTACCAGGCAAGGAATAAAGAGAGGAAGACGAAAAATTCGGCGATATCACATTTATTTTTCATTTCTGTATAGCAGCTGCAATAGGCCCTGGTAATGCGCAGGCATTATTTGCTGTAGCAAAGTTGACTGTTCATTAGTTTATATGAGCCCTTTAATTTTTAAAGCCTTTAGTACTGATAACGCTCCAGTCCTCAGAATTGATAGATAACATCGGAGTATTATTAGAATATAGTGGATGAACAAGATACTGTTGCATTTTCAATATTATAGGCTGGAGCTTTGAAGTTGTCGGTTCATTTATTCGTTTTAGGACCACCCACGACTTTTTGGACGAAATTATGTTTTTCCTGCAAATTTCGATGTGTTTTGAATGGATTTCATATTTATTTCTTGCGCAAATCCATTTAGCGAGGTTGAGCAGGAAAAACAAATGTAGTGTTTTAGCCACAAAATTTATATTCTCCAGTCACAGGGTCTCCCTCACTACACGAAAGTTCGCCCTTGCGAATATGCTTATACAAATATTCCATTTTTTACACCTTTTTCTCCCAATACAAAAGTTATGGTCCCTTAAGGTATTGTACTAATTTATATTTATTAGGTACAATAAGCACTGTCAGTATTTTGTGTAGTTCATTTATGAATTTTTTTTTTAAATATTTGATAAGCAATGTAGAGTACTGACCCCCAAAAAGTATCATTATCGTTAACCATGGAGTCGATGTAATTCGAGGCATTCCGAACAGTATTGCTCGACCATCTTCTCTACGGTTGGTTGTTCTATTGTACATCCGCTACCTATGGGCATGAATGAGTATATACAGGTACGTTTTCGAACGATGTGAATCCTCCGAGGCTTCAGATCATATATTACATGATCAGATATTACATGACTCGGAGTGGACGCCATACCAGTCATCAACGGTGTCTTACATCGAATGGGGAGAAGAATAAGAGTGCTGAGATAGGACGACGAACTGGGGTGAGCAAGCCCACAGTATCATGATAGGTTAGGCGCCATGAAACTGCTGCTTCTACTCTGAAACTTACAGTCATAAATGTCCCGTGATTTGAAACCTTATTTCAGCATTAACCAATTCAATTTAAATACCGTATCATTAACATGGCAGATGCCATGTTGAGCGATATATTGTAGGAGCTGTACACTCTAATATCAAGTAATTTGCTTATTCTCTCTTCATAACAGGCATATCGTGAATAACATGAGGAGGAATATTGTGAAACTCGGAATATGTGAAACTCTGTTAATGCAATACCGTAATGGTGAAATGTCCATTTTGAAATCTGTCTCAGTCTCAGTTATATGTTCTGAGACAATTCCCATTTATTATATATTTCAGTGTTTATTGTAACCATCAATCAGTGGCTTGTTTAGACATACGTTTTTTCTACCGTACACGATACATTCATAAATATAGCTTTATGGATTTCTTGTTATATTGAAGTATTTAGTATGCCATACAAGGACGACTCCCTCCCTTAAACCTACCCCTATCCTAAGCATTTCGTCTAGCGTTTCAAATTGTAGCAACGGAAAATCTAACATAACTTTTTTGGGGGACTCTACAGTATCTTGCCTTCCTAATAACTGACAGTATATACCTGTACAATATATGTAAATTGTATGTCAACACAGTACCAATTTAATTAATCTAACATTAACAGTGATTGGATCTGAGTGTGACATCTCATAAAGATTCAGTTTTGTCTAGTATATGATAAATATTGTTCTGCTTATATGTCAGCCCTGAGAATTGAATATGTATATGGCCTTAATATAAACTGTATTTGAGTGTGATGGTAAATGGCTAGAAAATATACCATACCAGTTTGTTCATTATAAAAATAAAGGCTATGGTAATTAATGGCCTTGCACCAGAAATGAAGTTCAGTTTATATATATATATATATATATATATATATATTTTTTTTTGTCACCCAAGGAAAAGAGCTGTGCAGTTTGCAACTACTGTAAAATGGGACCTAACTATTGTTATTTAGTAACTCCAAGAAAACCCCCAATATACAGTATATCTGAAAAGGGAGATAAGTTCACAAGCACTAAAAATACCTACCTAACTACTGTAAATTAGTACATAAGGACTGTACTTTAGTTCCTAATTACTGTAATTTTGCATTAACACATTAATAAATTAATGAAGTATAACTACCTTAAAGTGCCATTGGTTTTGTATAGCGAGAAAGTGGTGTAAGAATAGAATATTTGTGTAAGCAAATATATATATATATATATATATATATATATATATATATATATATATATATATATATATATATATATATATATATATATATATATATATATATATATATATATATATATATATATATATATATATATATTGGATCAGCAGTAAAATCTGCAGTACATGAAACCGAAAAGACCTAACCTAACCTAACCTAACAAAAAAAATCGCTTTTACTGAAGATTCGAAGGGAGAATATTCCCGTAATTAGGCAAATACTTATCTTTTACTGCAAAATAATCAATGTGTTTCTGTGAGAAATAATCCATAGATATCTATTTTTTTCTATAACCTTCTGACTATATATAAATTAGCGTTATTTAATAAGCTGGTGTTATCGTACCTTATCATGCAAGGCGCAATGGGATAAATGCGTTTGCCACTCACCAGCCGCTTGGCGTAGCTACATGCCGATAACCACAAGGAAACAAGAAAACACGAAGTTCTCAAGTGCTTTCGTGTAATTCACATCTTCAGGGGTGAGTATAGACTAAGGAGAAATACATAACAAGGTATCCGCTTTCACTTGTATTAAGCAACTTATATATGGAATTCTTTGAAAAGAACCTATTAAGTAATATTTTACCACCTTCAGCAGTCTGGTTTAGATATGTAGCTGATGTATCATGTCTCTGGCCATGTAATGAGGACCTAAACGCTTTTCTACCACAACAAAACAAGTTAGCCCCCTCGATCAAATTCACTGTTGAATTAGAGCTTGACTGTAAATTTCCATTCCTAGACTGTCTGATCCACAGAATAGGTAACACCTTTAAGTTCAGTATTTATAGGAAACCTACTAATGTGTGTTCATACATTCATTATTAGTATGCCCACCATAATAGTGTCAAACAGTCAGCATTTTCTTCAATGTTTTGTAGGTACCTTGAGAATTTGTAGTCCGGAATTCATTGATGAGGAATATAAATATATCCATAATATTGGTTTGAACCTTAAGTACCCTAGATCTTTTATAGACAAATGCCTTAGCATTACTAAGAAATCTTTTTATAGAACCGATCCCAAGCCCACCCATGACCATAAGAATCTCTTAGTAATACCATTTTACAAAAATTTCTCTCAAATCTATTTGCAACTAAAAACCTGGAAATTCAATGTGGCATTTAAAAACTCATGTACTGTAAAACAATTGTTAATCAAGAACTCCCCCAACAATGCAGGCGGCTGCATTTACAAGGTTCCTTGCAAGGAATGTAATATGTTTTACTTAGGCCAGACAGGTAAAGACCTTGTAACTAGACTTAAACAACATAAATACAGTGTTAGGACAGGCCTGGAATCCAATGCTCTGTTTGTCCATTTGAGGGATAATAAGCATTGCATTGACTGGGATAATGCCTCCTCAATATTGCCTTGTAATTCAATTGACAGTAGGAACATTATAGAATCCTGTCTCATTAAACATACCGAATCCATCAACATGAATTTGAGTAATGGTATGTACAAACGGGATAATTTCGTAATTAAGAAGATTTGTAACCAGGTAAGAAGGTGGGTCATCTTACCCTCTGACCTGACTACCGACTGCTGCGGTGCTATTGAAGATTAGTAGGGTCACTGCCTAGTAGGGTGTGTCATACGGAGGCGAATTTTTTTTTTTGAGTTTGAAAAATCGGCCCATGGTATTAATGATGTAGTTCTATGTGCAGAATCATGTGATATCTTCAGATTTGAAAAGTTTTCATTTTTTGCTAGGTAAATTTTAACTTGAAATCTTATGAAAATTCAGTATTCCCACCCTTTTACCAACACCACTAAATAGCTTATTTAAAGTAAAGTAAATGTATCAGGTTAATTTATTAGGATGAAAATGATCCAGAATAGTGAAACGAATGATCTTGACACATTTATTAAATTTAATATTCCTTTAGAAAACAAAA